TTGTTTCTTTATAAAGGACATCAATCAGTGCAATTCAGCTTGAGCCTTGGGTTTATGGGACTAAAGCACAGCTGATCGATGGTTTTGAGGAGATCAGTATTCGAACAATTTTTTCTTCGATCTCTTTGCCCAGGAACTGATAGTGGCATGATCAAGTACCTGAAGCTATGGTTGAAAAGTTCTTAGAGCTTTTCAGGTGAGCTGTGATTATGGATGATGCCATGTTGATAACATCACGTGAGACAATATGTCAACCAGTAGAGTGCAATGTCTTTGACTTTGATAGATTGTGCAATATGTGCATCAAAATCCATGGTCATTATGTATACTAGGTCCAAAATGAAATTCCCCTTGTTCACTGCTAACTGGCATAAATAGGTTGAAACAGGTGACTTGCTGATTTATTTGAAGACACTCAATTTCTGAAGACACTCCACATTTAGATAAGAGATTCTCCATACCACATGGTCCTTTGTAGAGTAGCTGTGCTCATACATGTTCAATTACTATAGTTTTGGAAATTAGGTTCAATCGGAACTAGGGGAATATAATTCTTTACAGATAAATCTCTAGCCATAGTAAAGAACAGGATGGCAGCCAGAGCAAGTACTACCAATTGGAAGATCAACAGCATCGCACCTCAAAACGTGTTGACTTTAGGCAAATTGTTTTCACATGGGAAATTCAGACTCAGTTCAGACTCCGATGAAGTAACTGCTCACATCAAAGATCGTTATCATTCATCAATCACTTTTGACTCCTATTGGCTATGTGTACCCAAAGATATAAGCCCTTGAGTAAATTGGCACATTCTGCAATTTGTTTCATTCTCACAGGGTTTCTCAGGGCCAAAAACTGTCCCTTTATTCCGATTCTCTCCAGAAGATGAGGAGGATCAAGATAACATAGCTGAAGACTGTTCACAAGATTCAAGCCCAGATGAACCAGATTTCCTTGTTCCACTGAAGCCATCTGCCATTTTGAGACCATTCCATACTGGAATCGAAAGAAGGGACAAGCGCAAAACCCAGGCAGGTTCAATTTTGACTGTCTTTGGTCATCTATTTTACCAGTTGCAGGATGAATCGAGTTCATCAAAAGAAATCATGTATTCGTTGCTGAACTTTCAGTCTTTGCAATCACCTAAAAACTTGCTTGCCTCAGCAAATTCGGAAACAGCATCTGATGGTGAGCTGCAAGCAAAGGATCCTGATGAGTTGTTTGTCCTTCTCCAATGTTACGAATCTTTGCCCATGCCTTGCAGAATACTAGTGTACCCATGGACTACGACAGGTGGTGTGAATATTAGCAACAGTGATCTGAGTCGGTTATCACCTGGAGAATTTTTGAACGACAATCTCATAGAGCTCAGATTACGGTGTGTGACTTGTAAACCACCTGTTTCAATTTTTACAAATATCTTTAGGCTGACGTATGAACTTCTGCAAACTGGCAAGCCCTCCGTTGCAAAAGAAATTACTATTTTTAGTCCTTTTTCTGTGTTTACCACCTACTCCATCAGTCATTTCCTACGCTCTGACTGGCATTCTTCAACTTCCTTTCTCGACTCTCCTCAACTCGATTTTTTTGTGAATGCTTAGCTACATACACGTTCACGATGTCTTACAAGGTTCTTTATTTTTCTTTCTTCCCTTACAATACACCTACGGTAGAGAACAACTTACCACATGTGATTGCGTATAGCAACCAACACAGCAGATGTTTGACTGAGCCCCAGATAATCATCCCTTGCCACAGGCAACTATCATTGATTAACAGTACCTTTGAGAGAAAATTGAGCAACCATCACTAGCCACAACACTGTATTCTACACATGTTACAACACCTACTCCTAGCAACAAACGATGCAAGACCATGGCAAGATGCTCCTCCCCTGTGGAATGTAGCTCGAGCCAACATCTTGAGGTGCCTCGGGCATGCAAGGGGGAGGATTCATGTTTCGCAGACAGTCTCCTCCCACCTCCACACTGGAGGACAGTCCTCACACACTTTCATCCATAAGCCTGTACTAACATACAACCTCTGCAAGTGCTACATAGATGCCACACATGGCTATGTGATCCCTGATCTACAACACCCAGCGAAAACCCCCCTCACACAACTCAACCACTATCCAAGGCGACTACCTTTGGGCCTCCCAAGGCCACAAACCCATCTCTCCCAAGTACAGCCCACCTAGATATCACTCTCTCCTGCCCCCCCCTCTTTTCACGACATGCTAGTAGAAATTAGTTAGTAAAGCATACCACCCTCAGTAGATACCACTTGAGACAGACCACAACATAGGGTATAGAAACCAGATGTAGACATATGCCCTAAAAGGTGTGAATACTATAAATGGGATTTTATGAGAAAATAGAGCACAAGATCGCATCCGCCCATTCAGAGGTATGCCCAGACACATTTCAAAGTGACCTTGAATGTTATATCTCACACCGTTTTATATCTGTCTTCAAAGACTGGAAGGCTGGATTGTGGGTCTTAGTCAGCAATATCATCAAGCTGGATGACAGTCTTAGTCAGCAATGCCATCGAGCTGTCATATGACCATGTGAGTTGAGTGCCATCCTGTGACATCCCAGAATAGAATTCAAAAGATGAACTGGCTCGTGGCCTTTGTCCCCTTCCATGACCACCTATAATGTAGTCTTGTATGCCTGAGCAAAAGAAAATATAACATCATTCACTACATATGCTGTAAGAATTCTCGGATGGACATCTCTATAACGGGTGCCTCGCCTGAAATTTCAGCATCTTCTTCATCAGCTTCGACATCTTCCACATTGGCATCATCAAGTTTGTCGTCACTGTTCAAGTCTGGAATATCAGGTATTGTAGCTTGGTCTGATTGAAGTTTATCAGATTGCTTAGTGTCCGATTTGAAAGATTCTGACCTTGCCCAACCACCTCTTTTGGACCTCCTTGATTCTTATCGGTTTCTTCTGCTTCATATGCTCTCGTAGAAGCAATGTGCCATTCATCAAGAACAACAATATGGCGTTCGTGAAATTTATCCAGCAATGCAAGGTATACATTCCAGATGCACTCTCGGGTTACTTCTGGATGGCCGAGTTCCTCCATAAATACTTCAGCCCACTGCCTAAATGAGTTAGGGACAAGCTGCAGCATGGGGTGATCAGGTGGGGCATAAATTTGCCTCACAGCTTGTATAGTTTCTGGGATGAAAGCAACCTATGAAGAAACATTGAATTTGGAAAAATGATAGGTGCTTGTAGGTACCTTGAAATCCTGGGCCCCAAATCACTCAGGAGCTTGTTCAATGAGTAAAGGGACTCTGTTCAGTCTTGCCACCTTGCGATTTCATCTTTTCTTTGTCATGTTGTTTTTGATCACATACAAATCGAGTTCTTGTTAGAACCAAGGGATAAAAAGGAAACGGAATATCAATCTATGAAATCAGCTGAGTCCAGTTCGATTTGAAGCTGTTAAAGAGAAGAGATGTATGCTTCCAGAGGCACCTCCAGGTCATACCAGCCTTGCTCAATGCCAAACTGAAAGAGTCCTTCATAGCCAAAGCTAAAGTGAGCACGGAACACACTCCATACAATTTCTGAAGGAATGTTTTTCTTCTCTGCCATCCATCAGTGCTGCAAGGTATTGTCCAAGTCCTTGTCAGTCCATTGGCACAAGAAGCTATGCACCCTAGCCTGGTTACCATTCTTGTTGCCCATATCACTTTGTGTAAGAACAGGACCGTCTGGACAAGAGAAAGATAGTGACCCCTTGCAGAAAGGTTTAAAGACCTATGCCCAGTGTGTTCCACTACATCCAGGTAGTATGAACAGATTAAGATGGGATTTGAATTGTTCCACCAGACTCGCATCCACTTCAGGATGCCAGTGAAAGGGTCTATGCCACTGTGAAGGCAGAGGCCAAAGCGATATTTCCACTTGTCATGTTGGTCGACGCACCAGAGGTCATTGACACCAGCACAATAAAAAACTTTTCTGATGAGTCCCTTTCAAATTCTTCGGGACGCATGCAAGGGTTCCTTCAAATACACCCATTCCTTGATTATGTCTCTTCCCTTTCATTAAGAATTGTACCATTAGAAGAATTTAAAGACTCACCTTGAAACTCGCACATTGTGGTCAATTCTTAGATGCTTCTTCATTTTGAAATAACCCACCTTAGGGAATTGCTCCCGCATTTCATCCAAATGTTCCAAGACAGTCTCAACAGTATGCTTTTGCTGCCATGTACTGAGGAATCCTAGCCTTTTTCTCATCCTTTTGAAGCTGGAAAGGCTGGAAAGAAACCATTAATGGATCCTCCGGGCGAGAACTTCAACATATCCCAAGGTATACTTTGACATATCGAAAACTTTCTGGAGTTCTTCACACAGAATGGTATCAGTTACGTTGCCCTCCATCAGCCAAAGCTCTTTCAGTCTCGGCAAAATTATTTCATCTGGTACTTCACCACAGTCAATGGAATGAAAAGAAAATTTACGATGACTCACCAAGTGGAAGGTGTTGATTGGGCATGACGAGAAACAGGTATAAATATGGATACCCAAAAATCACTTGTTGTCCTGGCCTAGATCGGACGTAAATCTGGAAAAATCAAGGAATATCTTTTATTTGTGTTTGTCTCCATGACGTGAAATGGAAGCATGCATAGACACTGACAGTTGTCTCATCATTAGGGTCCTGTTATTCCAACACAATGAATGGCCCTGCATCATTGGACAAGATTTTCTGGGATATCTGGTGACACTCATTACAATTTCGGATGGAAAATATCGGCGTCTTTTTATATGAAGTGGAAATGTTCGCTGGGCCAAGAATATCTTTCACTAAAAGATGAAATTATTTCATTCTGGCTGAAAAACTGGTTGAATTTGGGCCCAGCAATGTAGTCTTTACCATAATTGATTAACCATTTTAAGACGGTATGACAATGCGCAAAAACGGGTATATAAAGCACACTTTCATTGCAGAGACTGCCAAACTTTCATGAGTGAAAACACTTCCAGTTCTCAAGCAGAGACTTGCGTCCTCTTGTCTTGCTGTGTTGGTGTGCTTCTGCTCTTCATGGGTAAAGCCTCTTCTGAGTATTTTCACGATGTTCAGTTGATGATATTCAAGGCTTTTATCACTCTCACAGACTGCTCACAGCCATCACCTCAAAGTCTCTTTGTGCATGCTTAGCAAACCCAGCCTTGCAATTCAGTAACGTCTTTCTTCCACATAGGTGTTTGACCCACAAAGAGACTGATTATGGAACCGAGCAAAATGTCACTCCACAGTCCGCCTGCCTTTACCATCTTTATAAAGTGTCCATCTGGGAACTTTGCGCTCGGTAAGTTTTACAAAGTCATTGATCACGTCTTTGATGAACTGTTTTTCCAGTCGTCAATGGAAGTTCATCCATCCAGGATATCTTAGAAATTCTAAGACAGAAAGTCTCTGGCAGACAGGATGTTTGTGGTATCTTTTCAAGTCCGTTCCATTTGTACATGCCCGGCAGATGGCTTCCTTTATCCGCCATGGAGACGCTGGATGCTCTGAACGTGAGTGACCTTTCGACTTTACATTTCCGATCACTGCTGCTAGGGGGTGCCAGTAAGTATTCGACAATATAATGTGCTGGCAGGTACTGACACATTCCAGGCCCAGTTGATCTGGTTGATCTTACCTTTGCACTAGATGATAGTTCTGATCATTGTGAATACCAATGTTGCAAAAATCGCAAAGTGAACAGTGATCCATACAAGTTTCAGCCAGGGGAGGAAAAGTTTCAAATGAAGGCATGTTTGTGCAAGGATGGGCCTGCTACATTGAGGAACCTGGGGACTGAGACCCTGACCTTGACCACTTGTAAATCCTGTGCCATGCTTGCGTCAAAGAAAAGTATGCCCTTTTGCGCTTTCACCTCTTCCAAGCCAATATTCTTTTATAGAAGCTGCATCACAGCGCGCAAGACATCTATCGAAGAAAGATGGAGCGGTGTCATCCCATAAGTCTTATCCACATGCACAACACGATAAATCTCATTGGTTTTGTTAGCCCATCAGATGGCACCACCACCTGTTCCAACGATTCCAGGAATTCACCTGCTCGAAGTAGCCGACGCTATTCTGAAAGTCATTGCGTCCATCCCAAACACCCTTTCGATTGATGAAAGTGTCAAGAAGGCCAAAGCGAAAGGTAGGAATGTTTACTGACCTTTTCTTGTTTGGTGAATGTACTCTCTGACAGGAGCTGCACTGGAATCGAGGTTGCCAGTCGTGATATCATCATTGCTGAATAAAAATGCCCTTAAAACCGGTTATTCGCCTGCTCATTATCTCTACAATTCTGAGAAGGACAAGTTTTGCAAACTCGCAGTAGAAGGTCAAGGCGTACTTGCAAAGGTCTTTGTTCAGGTCAAAAGGGAAAACGGGACAAAGAAAGGCATCTCCTTCCACATAAGCTCTAACTTTGTCACGGTTACACCATTTGACTTTTGGCAGAACGTACAACATGGTGTCTCCTTTCCTCCTCCGACTCCCCACACTGAAGTCGTGCAATGCATGCTCGAAAGCCTGCTTGTTTTAGTACAAGCCCATCACAAAGTGAAGGGCTTCAAGTTCACTACTGACAATTTCTTCGTTGTGGACTCTGGGTGGATACCTGTTCTGGAAGGAGATTTAATGAAACCAACAGAGTTGTTTTATAAAGGTATAACCAAAGGGCTCTCAAAGAAGGGCACACCAGTTGGAGGCTTGAAATATTCTCAGGGAGCCCCTGAGAACTGGTATATGATACTCAACCCTGCAGTGGCTGAAAGATATGATGAATGGGAGGCTGGTGATACTCCAAAGGTATGATTATTGTCATTATGTGTCAATTTATGTTGATTTCTTTCAAGTCATCCCCTGTCAAGAATGGAAAAGGGAAGAAGCGTGAAGAACCAGAACTTGATTCAGATGTACGTTAACTAGGATGCCCCTGTTTGGATATTCATTGATTTTAAACAGATGGATGACCTTTCGGATATTGATTATGTTTCAATTGTTTCCGGACCACCTGAGTCGACCATCTCAGTGAGAGGAGGACATTCTCTTTGTCGCACAACCTAACATCATTCTTTAGGCGAATAGTGAACAGTCATATTCCTCAAAATGGGTGGTGGGTGACTTTCCAGTTAAGTCTTACCAGGCTAACTGAGTTCTGTAGCTTTCTCCAGCACCTCCTACAGGACGTTCCCAGCAGCAAGCGACTTTGTACTGGCATTGATGTATCAGACTGCACCAAATGGTTTGATGTGATTCTGGACATTATCGACACCGGTGGAACTTACCTTGAGAGCAGCTTCAATCCTGGTGAGTTCTACACCCAAAACAATCCATGTTAATCACCTACACATATTTTAGGTTTACCAGAATGGGCAGTTGAGATTTGTTTGATCCCTCAACTCATTTCTGGACTTCTCAGCAGCCCTCAATTCACCTTCACTTCGCAGTTATGGGGACACATTTATGTCAACTGGGCGGAGAGTGAAGAACAATGACTCAGATCCAGCTCTTTCAAAATGGCTCACTTTGGGCTGCTAAAGGTTGGAATGAACCTAGAGGGTGTTGATGTTCCGGCAGCGCTGCAGGGAAAAGTCTGTATCAAGCAGCCGTACTTTGGCCTCATGACTAGGCAAGGGGTGCAGCGGATGACTGATGATGTCGAATGTACGGCCGTCTTACAGGAAGCGAATACTTTGGTCTGGGCGAATGCCATTCATGACATGAGCATTGCATTGGTCCATGCCAAAGTGTCAGTCCTATGGGCCACCGCCTGGACTGATTCCGGACCTTCACTTTGTTGAGGCAGCAGTCACGCTGACTTCCCGTCCAGAATCGGTCAAGCTAAAGGATTGGCAGGGTTTTTGTGTCCTGGTGGAACGACTCCTAGATTCTGACTGACTTCGTCAAGTATGTATCGAATGGTGCCCCCGAACCGGTCGAAGATGTTTCCGAAGATCATCTTGCCATCGCCACATTTTTATGCTTCCTGCAGCACCTCCAATACTCTCAGACATTGGGAAAGTGTTTTGTCTCGGATTATCAAGGTACTTCCAACATCTCCTTTTCAGTAATGGGTTATTGAATGTCATCTTCAGGCGCCGGAAAATGGCTGACGGACCCCCAAGTCATGGCGAAATCTGCATATGTATTGCAAAAATGATAAAACTCAAGCTAATCATTTTACAGTGTTCTGGGACTGGCAACTCTTTGGTGAAGGAAATGTGGATGGTTCCCTCGAGCAATTCCCGCAAAGGCATCATTGTAACGAGTGGTGCACTTGGTTCTGCTTACAAGAGTTTTGAACATACGTAGTACTATTCTTGATAGAAGTTTGTTCGTAACTACTTTTATGAACCCCCGTTTCTGTCTGACTTGAAAGGTGGCCGAAGCACCTTAGTAACTTTGTGTAGGGCCTTTGATCCTGGTTTACTTATGTACTCGGATATTTGCCTTCCCAAACTTAAATTTTTTTTTGGCTAAATGTTCTCACGGGCCATCCAGCTCGATGGCCAATGGCCAGAAAAGGAAACAGAACCTAGCAAAGTCCAATTGTCTTGAAGACCGATTGTTCTGTTTCAAAATTGTCAATAGTTATCATGTTTGCTTTGAAATATCACCTTTTCCATTGGACACAGTTTTATTGTGTTTTTGACACAACGTTTATGTAAATACAAGAATGAACCGCATTGCTGGTTCTTAAACAACTCATAAAATCCATCCTATGGCGCAGGTGTTCTCTGGAGACGTTTTCCGTGTGAAGAGACATTGCATTAAAACCATGCCAGCTTGAAATAATGTTTCAAGCGAACATGGTAACTAATGACGATTTTGAAACAGAACAATCGGCCTTCAAGACAATCGGACTTGGCTAGATTCCATTTCTTTTTCTGGCCATTGGCCATCGAGCTGGATGGCCCATGAGAATATTTAGCCAAAAAAAAATTTAAGTTTGGGAAGGCAAATATCCAAGTACATAAGTAAACCAGGATCAAAGGCCTGTCCAAAGTTACTAAGGTGCTTCGGCATTATAGTTTTCCGTCTTAGAAACCCCTTCTTTGAGATGAGCATGATGTGAGTAGAACGTGACATAAGAACCCAGGTGGTACTTATGAAACAGAAGAATTCAAAGAACATACGCACGACTTCATGGTAATGATGCCAATAGAATAAAGACTTCAGGATTTTCTTCCCTTATTTCGGGCAGAATTCCGGCCATATTTCATTTTCCAAGAATCACCCCATCGTAAAAAAAACATAGTCTGACACATTGTCAATCCCTTCCACTTGTGATGGTCCACACAATACCATGGTGCACTGTTCTTTCACCCCCTAATGTATCCGGTGTCAGTCCCAGAGTCTACAAGAACCAACTGTAAGTCATTCACTTTCTTAAGCGGAACCATATTAAATGATCTGGAAGGGTGTGGATTCCAAATGGTACTACTGGTGCTAAGTGGCCAGTCGTGGTTTACTGCAAAAGAAAGGATCAGGCATTGGTGTTGAACACACATTTGAATCCATTCCTGGTGTATCATGGCCAAGAGGATGATGTAACTTTCAGAGTGTCTTTGCATGAGTGGCAAGAATGGCCCACGATCACTGCAATGTTCGACAATGATGGGGCCACCTTCTGGGCCATCATATATGGCACAAGGGCAGGCATCTTCTATCACCAGTGTGTCTTTTGATCTTTTTCAGAATCAAACTCACCATACTTTTGACATAGAGAACATGCTGTGGACCAAGTCAATCGGTCAAACCCAACATATCGCAGGGCCCATGGCTTCGATAAGATTGAAAATGCGCTAATCTGTCAAATGAGTCGTGGTGCAACTGTGTATGGATGTGTAGATCAATACCCGGCCAACACAACGACTTTGCCATTTCATGCTGGCAGTCGAGTTCCCCGCCCTACACCCACCATAGCTTCACCCACAGCATCTCCAGTGGGGACCCCTTCGAAGCAGAAAGGGAAGGCACACATTCCCGACTTGTCACCAAGGAAAACTCGTAAGTAATTTATCAAGGATTTCCCTTCAACTTTACTTATTCAAATGAGATCATGGCAACTACCTCACTTCGAATGTGACTGTCAATAGCATTGGCAATGGGGACATATTTTCATCTCCCAGTGAGTGTTGTTCTAAAAGTTACTCATACCCTCCCCTGAATTCCGTAGCATCACACAGCTCACCAAGGACTCCAGTAAGCCTTGGCCAAGTGGGGCCCTCCAGGCCAAGATCCATGTCACCACTATGTCTTCCCAAGTTATTGCAAGATATCTGGAGGTATACCAGTACCCCGAAGCGATAATATCAAGACATCTGAAGAGGCTGATACAAGGGATGACTTTATTGAAGCGATGGAGGAGAAGGTATTCCGGAAGATGGTGGCTGGATTAATTGGGACCTGTACTTTGGGTTGATTGGACATAGCCTTTTGATTCCTCATAGTTAGCCTTTACAAATATGTTTTTCTGAATTTATACATGCTCTTGTGTTCCCAAACAGGGGGGTACATATTTCAACTCAAGTTTCCTACTTGAAGTGAGATAGCTAAGAAGTGCACAGTTTTTTTACGGAGGGAAGGGGGGGACTTTGGTGATGATGCAGA